TGTGTGTGTGTGTGTGTGTGTGTGTGTGTGCGCTCTCTGCTGCCATCTAGTGATGGGAGTGAAGTCATTGGTGATGGATGAGTCCAGGGATCAGCTGCATGTACCAGATACACGGAAAAGGGTCATGCCATCATCTTAAAATTACTGGACATTTCAGGGTGTAAAACCTCAGCCAAGCAGAGGGTGAATTTCTGCTGGGTGGATGTAGAAAACGGGCACATGGAATGTGATGCTTCTTGCAAAAAGAGCTCCCCTAAAACACGCAGAGCCCCGACGTGGCGGTAACTTGTGGGGGCACCAATGGGGCAGGTTACTGCTGACGTGGTTTGGACTTTGCCTCAGACAGACTCTAGTGGAGAACGTTGTCTGGTCGCTATGGACACCTTCACAAACTGGCGCCTAAGAAATCCCGAGTCTGTGACAGTAGCCGGGGTCCCCGGGAATGAATCCTTCACCTGGTGGGTTACACAGAGATGATGGGTGAAGCTTTGACTCCAAAGTGTTTCAACAAGTTGTGAGATTCTAGGGATCCACTGTTCACACCTCTCTAAGCGATCAGCTCAGGCTCTCTGCAGACTCAGGCAGCGTTGCTGTCAGTCACACTCAGGGCAGCTCTCCCTTCTTATTGCAATAGGATCAGGCTCTCTGCAGACTCAGGCATGTGGGGATTTGCTGTTAGAGCTGAGATCCTCTCCCATCTCCATCTCAGTACATTCACAGGTGCTGGGGTGGCTGTGTTCTTCCTCTCCTGCCCTACACAGAGACCACTGGCAGAGCTCCCCAGAGCAGTGGGGCTGGGAGTTGACACCCTGAATATTGAGGCATGGGGTATTTTCCCATCTCACAGTGACAGGCTCAGGCTCTCTGCCCACTTGGGCAGGCCTCAGTTTTTCACCAACCGGGGGTGGGAACCACAGTGGGAGACAAAGGATTCCTGCCCTATAGAAAATCTAGGTCCTGCTTTCTGGTTAACAAGCTCTGTTCTATGTTGTGTTCCTGTCGACTAATAAACCCTTCTGTTTTACAACGTTGACTGAGAGTCGCTGCTAACTGCGGAGTTGGGATGCAGAGTCCCTCTGGCTTCCCCAGGTGTCCCGTCCAGGTGGACCCGCTGCAGGAAGTGCCCAGTGAGAACAGGGAGCTGAATGCTCCGAGGTCAGACCCAGGAGGCTTTCTGCCTGGGCAGCATGCCCTGCGGGGAGTCACACTACCCAGAGTCCTGGCTGGCTTCATACTGAGCAGTTCCAGAGCATCGGGCCTGTGACTCCGTGACAGCATGTCCAGCCCCGATCCCCGGGAAATGCACAGAACTGCCAGGTGTGCTGTCCCACAGGGATGCTACGCAGCAGCTGGAATGATTACATCTCAAGGCGCACGCTTCACGTAATAGCACAACATGGAGCTACAGCGGTAATGAAAGCAAGACCATGGCCCTGTCTACACTCCAAAATTAAGTTGTCCTAATTTATGTCAGCCGACAGCCACCGCAATAATTACATCGCTTGTGCCTGGCTACCCTTTGCCCCTTGTGTCAGCGGTGAGCGGCCCTGGATGGAGCTGGAGAGCACGGAGAGAGAGACTGTACATTTGTGGAGGGGATAACTCTGGGTGGTAGAGACGTGGCTGGTACTTAAAGCCCCCCTGTATCTTGAAGAAATGAGCGCAGAGCTGGAATTTCCCTGGGGAGGCAGAGCTCACCGGGGGGGCAGTTGTCCAGCCCACCACAAGCAGATTGTGACATTGATTCCCATATTTTTCATAATAATATTATGATATGATTGTGTCATAATCCTAATGTATTTTATGCCAGATGGGTTTTGTGAAGTGTCATTGGAAAGGTATTGGTTTGCTGAATAGGATTATCCTATTTGTATTCATGTATCGTTTTTGTATCTAAAGTTAGGAAGATTGACTTTACATCTCTACTAGAAAAGGGTTTGCACCTGGGGAACACCCACCAGACAGAATGCACCCAGCTTGTGAAAAAATGCAAAAAAACAAAAAACCCAAACCAACTTATGAATTCCCCTGCTGTAGCTTAACTACTCTGCCCTCAGGCAAAGAAAAAAGCTTCAGCTGCTCTCAGCTAAAATAAAAAACAAAACCAAGGTGTCCCTTAAAAAAACTCCCTGATTTTCAGGCCAAGCCCTTTTGCCTGCCTGTTCTTCCTCAGGCAGAAAAGAAAAGAAAAAAACAACTCCCTGGCTTTTAAGCAGCCAAAAGGAAAAATGTGTCTTTTTAAAATCCTGAGGTCTGTGCTTCTGGTTCAAAATGATCCCACCGCACTTCCACCTTGTCAGGGTTCCCCTGCTAACTCTGAACTCTGCAGTACAGATGTGGGGACCCGCATGAAAGACCCCTTAAGCTTATATCTTACCAGTTTAGGTTAAAACTTTCCCAAGGCACAAATTCATTTCCTTGTCCTTGGACGGTATTGCTGCCACCACCAAGTGATTTACACAAACATTCAGGGAAGGGTCACTTGGAATCCCAATCCCCCCAAAATATCACCCCAAGCCCCTTCACCCCCTTTCCTGGGGAGGCTTGAGAATAATATACCAACCAGTTGCCTTAGCAATGTGAGCACAGACCAGACCCTTTGTCTTCAGGACACTGAAAACAATCAGGTTCTTAAAAGAAGAACTTTATTATAAAGAAAAAAGTAAAAGAATCACACCTGCAAAATCAGGATGGAAGGTAACTTTACAGAGTAATAAAAAGATTTAAAACACAGAGGATTCCCCTCTGGACTCAGCTTCACAGTTACAAAAACAGGAATAAAACTACCTCTGTAGCATAGGAAAATTCACAAGCCAAAACAAAAGATAACCGAACGCATTTCCTTGCCCTACTAACAATTCCTGTGGGTTTAGATGGATTATTCCAGGTATATTTTCAGGAGATGTTTTATCATCCGGAGAGGGAACAACCCACACAACAACAAACAAACAAATCCTTCCCCCACAGATTTGAAAATATCTTCTCATTGGTACTTCTGGTCAGGTACCAACTAGGTTATTTGAACTACTTCACCCCTTACAGGTAAGGCAGATGTTACCCTTCCCTCTATATTTATGACATGGGAAAATATACATCCTTTGTCTGGCAGAAACTTGTCTGCCAATCCTGTCTTTATTCAGACTTCAAAACAAGTTTTCCATATCTACATGTATGTGTGACCCCAAACTGCGTGACAAGGCCTACATTACACACGCATATTCATGCCCAGGGTGCTCCCGGCTTGCATTTGATACATTACAAGATGCTGACACAGGCCACTGAACCCTCTGCCCGCTGGTACTGATGGGCCTGTGTGTCACACAGTCACTGGAGGTTTTTCAGAGCAGATTCTACCCAATGTCCCTTCTTAGAATTTGTGGGTGGGTGGCTCCCCTGGTCTAGGGTGGTTTGTGGCTGAAGTGTCTTGGCCACTCTGCAGCCCCATCACCTTATTTGTCACCCCAGACTTGGGGGTGCACTGTTCTGATCGGGGGAGCCTCATCGGATTGCTCCTCAGTGCCATCCCCCTGTTCCCGTTGGCTGGCGGTGGCCTCAGCCCTCTGCTTATCCTTCCAGGTGACATTCTCACCAACTCCCCGTCCCACGCTGCCGCCCACACACATCCCAGCCACGGCACCCACCCCGGCTCCAATGGCTGCTGCCTTAGCTATACCGAGCACAGCAGCAGCGACCCCGACCCCGGCAGCTCCCCCCACCGGTGCCAGGACCAGTGCCCCTGTGCCAATGCCCACCGCAATGACAAATGTCTTGAAGCGCTTCCTGTAGATCTCCAGGAAGGTCTCAGCCTCCTGCTTCAGCTCCGCCTCCAGCTCTGTCAGCAGGGTCTCTTTCTCCGGCGCCGGCTCCCGCATCTCCACCTGGCACCACCACAGCAACTCCAGGTGCTTTTCCTCGAACTGCTCCACCATCTTGCTTGGCCTCACCTTCAAGCAGGCAAACATGTTCCGGGATTCGCGGTCCTGCAGCCACCAGGAGAAGAGACGGCCAAGATTGGGGCTCATGTCACACCAGGAAACACACAGACCCGCTCACCAACTGAGATCAGACACCCCCACAACTGGGATCAGGGCTGGCTCCCATCGTGCCGGGCACAGCACAGATCTCCTGACTGAAATCAAGCGCCTGTCATGTGCAGTGCTGCATAGCCCTCCCCGCCTGATATTGGGGGCCCCGTTATGCTGGTGCTGGGCAGAACCCCCAACTCAGATTGGGCACCTCATGTGCCACAGTCTCCCATCTCTGCAGCCACCCTGGGAGCTGGAGATATGAACTCCCATCTCCTGTCCCAAATCCTGTAGCCTGTGGAATGGCTTGGATGGTTGCCTTGGGTTCCCCTACCCAGGGGCACAGACCCCTCCCCCTACACTCACCTTATCGTTCAGAAAGTCAGCATGGTCTCGGCGGGTTGTGTTCATGATATTTTGGTTGTGGAAGGTGATGGCCATCTGCAGAGAGAGGACACGGTCGGGGTGAGCCGCAGTTCATGGACCCGTGTCTCCACCCAGCTTCCATTGCAGCAGCCTCAGGTAAAGGGACACAGTGGCGCATGGTTGCTGTTGTTATGGTTCCTGGACTAGGACCCGGAGTAGTGGGTGGGCCCGGATCCCGCTTTTAAGCCACTGGGGAAGTGGCCTACACTTGGACAATGATTAAACCCCCAGAAGGGGATCTGAACTGTTAAGAGGCCTGGCTGGAGAGCTGGGGTCAGAACAGACCCAGAGAGGGTGAAACCATCACCTCCAGGGAGGAAGCCCTGGGGTGTGGCCTGATCCTAGGGCCAGGACTGGTTAAAGACGCTCAGACACACCCGACCAGAAGAGGGGCTCGCGAGAGGTGGGTGCCGTTACACCAACCCATAGAGCAGATTGGGGAGGATGGATGGGTTGCCCGAGATACATCCCCCATGATGCAGCAGCAGAGACTCTCCTCTTGGGGAGGACTGCTAGTGCATGGTGCCTGCAGTGCATCATGGGATGTGTAGTTCAACCAGGTGCCCAACCCGTAGAGAAGAATGGGGAACATGAGGCACAAGAACTACAATTCCCAGAACCTGCCACAATGACCTTTCCACACAGAGATATTCTGGGGTTTTCCTGGAAACTCCAAGTTTTCTGCAGGAAAAACAACCCCATTTTGGGCCAGCTCGAACAAGCTCCTCTTATTTAAATGCCAATGGGCATCCCGTGGGGAAAAACAGGATTTGGTTCTATGGGTCTCATGGACAGGAGATGTGTCCATAGACTGGGCGAACCCTCCAGCATCATCCACCCTCCAGTAGGGTTACCATACGTCCGGTTTTTCCTGGACATGTCCGGCTTTTCGGCAATCAAACCCCCGTCCGGGGGGAATTGCCAAAAAGCCGAACATGTCCAGGAAAATGCCGGCCGGGCACTTCCCCTCCCGTGGCGGCTCTGCTCCTCCCCTGACTCTTCGGCTCTGTTTAAGAGATGAGCTGCCGAGCGCTATGGGCTTCAGGCAGCCCCCTTGCCTCCGGACCCCAGCCGCCGGCCGGGCACTTCCCCTCCCGGGCTCCGGCGGCGCAGGGTCTGGAGGCACGGGGGCTGCCCGAAGCCCGTAGCGCTCGGGCAGCTCGGCTCTTAAACAGAGCCGAAGAGTCAGGGGAGGAGCAGAGCCTCCGGCCGCGGTGGCTCTGCTCCTCCCCGACTCTTCGGCTCTGTTTAAGAGC